CTATGGTGAATGAAGTGACCCGCTGGTTCAAAACATTACTGGAACCGCTCTGGGCGAGTAGGACGAGATAGATCAGTGATTAGAGTGCGAATTTATTTACCGGAAGGTCTGTGCCTCTCGACTTCTCCTGACTAGGCTTGAGCAACCTGAGATTATCCCAGCCCTCATGCTTCATTCTGGTGGCAAGGCAGCTAGGCACAGAAGAGATGCTACAGCTGAACGATTATCCTTATGATTCTATTGTTATTAATAACAGTAATAATAGTATTAGTATTTGTATTATGGAAGGAGGTAAACACTTCCAGGCACTGGACTGGAATCAGGACTAAAGCAGCCGAATTCTCTCACACTAACTAGGTGAACAGTTCAGTACCCGACAATCCTGCTAGAGATTATTTATCCCACTCATTTCCCTAGAACCAAAGGAGTGGAAGAATCAGCCCAGATTGCTGAGTATTGATTAGTAATTGATTAGGTGGCTGTTGATCTGTTTGCCGAGCTTAGCAGTTTACTCTCGTCACAATCCGGGGAGACGTCGTCAGCGTACCCAAGCTACCAATATTCCACGAATATTAATTGTTCGTCTGATTTCTATCCAACATTTCTAAGAATCTTCCCATCTCTGAAACTCATGGCAGTTTACTCTCGTCACAATTCGGGGAGACGTCGTCAGCGTACCCAAGCTACCAATATTCCACGAATATTAATTGTTCGTCTGATTTCTATCCAACATTTCTAAGAATCTTCCCATCTCTGAAACTCATGCCTCAAAGACTTACTGAACAATAATCAAAAGCCCCGCTGCCGAGGTCGAGCTCTCATTTTTGGGCGTCGTGTCAGTGATAAGGTAGCTCATCAGAACTGTCTAACTTGAAGTCTTTGTTCCCTTCGTTCTGTTCAGCGTTGTAACTGAAGTGACTCTTAAATAAGTACAGACCGTTTTAAATAGGGACACAGCTTAGTGGAGAAGTCCGCCCTGTTTTTTTATCGTAAAAACAGTTATGTGCAACAGAAATTTATACAGCCGGAGATCCGAATAGTTCCAAGACTCTTATCGATTTATTTAAGACAGTATATAAACGTCGTGCTCTTGTCTTATTCACCTCAAGATTTAACCCCTTTTCCTCAAGGTAAGTTAGGTTGCTCCGAAAGCAGCAAACCAATTCCAGTGAACTTCGGATCGTCTGAGTGATTTTGCAGTTACCCACTTCTGAGTCCTTGAAAAACCTTAGTTCACTTTGGTCACACTGAGATCCGAAGGCCACATAATTTCGTCAAATTAGTGGTCAATAACCTCATCTCGAATGCAAGGTGAGCATCGTTGACAAGCCCCGTTTAACCTTGGAAGTGCCAAACTGAACACTATTAAATATATGGAACCCATAGACCTATGCTTATAATTAATACCATTAACCGTATATAAATATCAGACACTTCAGTTGCAACCCCCCTTAGAATGTTTCTAATAACGTTTTGCACGTTTCTGGTGTATTGTTCGTGGCATACCTATAAGAATGTTTGAACAATTCTGGATAAACACGGTAGTTTTGCTAGCGAACTTAAGGACAATTGTATTCTCTGGCAATCCTGGCCAACTTATGATATATTCTGCCCGATTGTTCCTGATACTTTGGGTTTCTCGCTTTGACCTGGAGAACAACTTATGTGTATGTTCCAACTCACCTAAAGATAATCGTTCAGGTGTAACACCCATTCGGTACCTAGCTGCAATTTCACCCGAAGGAAGCACGAGGGCTGGGATGCTACCCGGTTCCCCAGCCCCAGACAGGAAAATTTGAGAGGCGAAGGTCGGGTTTGAAGCACGGACCTTCAAGTCAGTAAATCCGAGCTCTGACCACTGGGCCATCTCACCCCCACAGTACGGAAAAAGTGGACAACGAAGACCAAAATGTATGCTGACGTTTTGAAACGTCAAGGTCTTGTGAAAAATGTGTTGCTCATTTGTTTACCTTCAATATTGGCTTCATGCATAACTCATACACCAGTTATAAACGTCACTATACGTTTTCATGGTCAACAATTCTGTTCTGAATCTACAACCTACCTATTTTAGCCCCCTCCTATTGAAGGTTTCTATGCTTGCATTCAAACGGTCTCCACTATATTCTGTTTTATAAGACAAAAATTCGCTTGACTTGACACGGAGTTTTTACAGCTGCACATTATGTTTTCCTTTGAGGAGGGGATTGAATCCCAACTGTCATTCATAAGCATTATTGTTCACTGGAAAGAACGTACAGTATGGAATAGCACAGCATCGAGGTGTCTGACGCTTAACAGTAACCAAAACGTGTACACCCTCGTCCACGAGGATTACTGAATGGCACTCCAGGGGGTGTGATTCTGTCAGAACAGGAGCATCCACTTGTTAGATCAACACGGAACACTTGATTACCAATGACGTTTCATAATCTTATCTGATCCAATCGCACACGCTTGGACCGAGTGCATACAAACACCGGTGAACCTGCACTGATTCTGATGTTTATTTGACCACGATGGGGGTACAAAAATTGACCGACAATCAGTTAATTTGCTACCCGACCTGTCCACTTTTAGTGAACCATGAAGTAGGTTTTCTAGTTGGTCACTGAAGAAAAACTCGAGTGTGAAAATGTTCGAAACCCTTTGACGGTTCCCAAAAACAACACAACCACAGTTGGGTTGACAGCGGTGACTGACTAAGTACTCACTAATCTGAAAAGTCGAGGTGCTGTGGTGTTCATTAGACGCGAAAGGGGGATTCGAACTTGTTTATAACGTAGTAATTTGCAAGCTATAATCTAGGCCTGCTGGATTCTCAAGAAATTATCGTGATGAATTGGGGTTAACAACAAAAACGCAAGATGTAACAACAGTGGAAAGTTTTAAATGATCAGCCCTGGCAAAGACTGTGACAACCGATGCATGCGTTGAATGAAGCTGAATGTTCTAACCACACAACATGACATTGTCAGACTAGCCTGATAAATGGCGATTCCGTCTTTCAGTAGATGTTATCTGCAAGATAAAGCGCCCCTAACAGGCTACGATTTTTCCGTTGTACTGTTGTTGATAAAAATTTTGTGGATGAAATTCAATGAGTTGGCTGTAATCAAGTCGAAAATGGCCTTATTCACTCAGATGAAAACTTGCCGACGATGTAGCATGTTGGTTCACAATGGTCATTAAATGAAGCTTTACAACTCCTCATTTCGTTTGAACAAACAATCATAGCAGAAATAGATATCTGCTACACTTCGCCCCGGAAACTTCAATGGGCGCGTGCAGCCACTCCACTATTCTGGTTACTTGCCGGCCGGCCAACATTCATCACGCCACCAGTGTTTTGGAGATATGCTCATGGCTTCAAAAGTATCAAATGTTTTCTCTACAGTTTCGACAACCTAAGCGTTTCAGATGTTTCTCTCACAGAAATTCCGGACGTAACTAAACCTGGCCCATCTTACACGTGGATACGTTGAAAAATCTCTTGTGTGGTACGTCAAAGGTCCAAAACTTGCATAAAAGATAGGGTGGTTTGCGACAAAACCATAAACCATATTGTGTTTTCCATTGGATGGGATAACAATTCAATCAATGAAAACGCTGTTCTGGATCTGAAAACAGTCAGATCTTTCTTTCTGAAGCCACCGCTTCTAATCAAGTTGGGACTTAATCTATGAAAATTAGGATTTAGTCTATTTTCACAAAAAAAGCAGCATTATAACATATTCACAACGGAATGGTGCCTTTGTAACAAGCTCTTATAACAGATTCCGTGTGATCACCTAAGTGCTTTCTAACCTATAATAATTGTACTCATTACAGACAGGAATTGCCTTATTTGTTCATTCGACAAGACCTCGGTTTCCTGCAAGACTGTTCCCAACGGCAAATTTCATTCTAACGACTGGGGAATTCAGCTTGGTGTCGGCTCTACACCATCTATCTAAATTTTTTGATTGCCTTCAGCATATCAGCCCTAGGATGAATAAGTTAATCTGACGGCACTGTAACCACAGTGTTTCGGTGAAATGCAAGTAACACGCCAAATGCACGACCGGTAGGCGTGGTCATCTCGGATTAGTGTCCGAAAGTGTTGTGAGCCCGACTGATGACGGCACTTAAGTCTCTTGTTTCTGTGTTATTTTCGTGTATGGGCACATCATATGTTCTGGTGGAAAAAAACTATAGGTACTCGGTTACTATTCGGATGACGAAGCATATGATTTCTTCGGATTAATCTCACGTTGGTTATTTCACAGTCACCAGTTATTTGGAATAACCGCGAAGTTTACGTGACCACATGCGATAGTGAATACTGCTCAATTCACATGGACAGCGAACAATAAGGAAACTATCAGGAAGGTCAGAGTCCTGAATGTTACCTCAGAACGCCGAAAACCTACTGCTCCACCAAAATCCTAACAGGAAGGCCGGCAAGCATCCAGACCAGTCAATCATTCAAGCAGTTCGTTCAAGCATTTCACAGAGGCACGATCGATGTTGATGGGTGTTCACCAACGCCTACCAGACAGCCTGGATCAATGTCAGAAAGTCCCCTTTAGATAGCGTGGGGCCGTTGTAACTTTTGCTCTCGCACGCACTCACGCTCTGACACTCGCTTGTTCAGAATATGGCTGTTGTGTTCCCTTCTGTGATTCTTTTTTCCAGCAACTAGGCACTGGAGCGGGTCAGCGGTAAATACCACTGATTGACGAATCAGTAGGTATAACAGAAGCAGCTGAGTGTTTGTTATTGTCATTGATACAGTGGCTAAACAGGGTTATCTTGATGCACACTCGAGGGGATAAGTATATACGTATACATATACTGCGTAGGCCTACAGTAGTGAACGGATAGCCGTAGACCCGGATTCTAAGCGTTATGGTTCCGTGTATTCCGCGTTGTTTGATTAGTCGTCATGACAGTTGCTTATCGCGGATAATTTCCCACCTCATTAGGCAACCAAGTTGTTTTCCTACCAGAAGGTAGCGCTAACAGGAAACGCGAGTACCTTGGTGTACAAATCATCTGCAAAGAAACGTATCTCTTCAATGAAGCAAGATCTTAAGGGATACCGAGGGTATCGTTTTGAAGGCGTTGGATTCGAAAGAACCAGTTCCAGCTTGTAGATTGTAAGTAATTTCTCACCATCGTTTTGGAATATTCGCCATGAAGTTAATTGTGTAGTCCCGTTTCCGAAAACCGGGCATCAGTGTTTCCACAACTGGGTTTGATGAAGCAAACTCCATTCTGGTTCAAAATGCTTAAAAAATAGGACAGAGGCTCAAAATGGAGAAACCCCGCGGAGAACTGAGTTTATACTAAGTCGAACACCGCTTAGTTTGGTCAATTCGGTTGTGTGTGCTTTCAATCTATGCTGCTATTTGTAGTCTAGTCCGACAAAACCGCATGAATTGATCGTCGGCTTCGTTATTACAACAGAACCGGAGGCTCACTTTGACCAGCCTTCAATCCTAAGTATGAATGTTCTACTGGATTAGCCATCTGTACTGCGCTCAACAAACCGATCGGAGTCACCGCTTATTTTGACAAGACTGCTGGTTCATGACAGCACACCTAAGCATCGGCATCAGTTCCCTGTTTGCTTATCAGCACTCTCCGCACGAGAAAATAAACAAACCGCCATGGTACGCCCAATCACTGAGATATCTAGAAGATGTTGATGAGAGACTACGGTGATGGCACGCGTTTACTGTAAACATAGGGGAAATCGATGTCTCAGCAGACGCAAAATTAAAATCCTCTTAGTTTAGGCAGTGTTGCTTATGTCAACGATGGGTGGAACCAAAGTTCCTTTGATTTTCTGTCTTTTGGCAGGAGCGAAATATATGGAACCTGATTCGGTCCTGTTTTTTGTGGCGATTATTCGCACGAAGTTCCTGGAGAAATGGTATTCTACACAACCGGCAAACAAGGGCATGAGAATTTGACCAAGTTAGTTAGAATATACGTGAAGACAGCAGAACAACAAGTGACTTTTAGCAATGCACCTCTGCTGAACTCCCTTATAAGAACGTGGAGCTCGCCCTCTGTCAACGTTTGACCTCTTTCTGAAGAAAGCGGAAATTTAGATGGCCCAGCAGAAAAGTCACGGCATCCAGATTTCAGGTTGCCGAAATGTATTCAGTCATGCATTTTAGTTATTCTTCTTCTCGCGTTCAGCTGTAGCACCCTTTCGGTGCCTAGCTGACATGTCACCCGAAGGTTGCACGAGGGCTGGGATGCTGCCAGGTTGCCCAAGTCTGGACAGGGGAAGTAAAGAGGCAGAGGTCGGTTTCGAACCACGGACCTTCCGGTCAGTGAATCCGCGCTCTAACAACTTGGGCTGTCTCGTCCACATTATTCTTCTTAGCCCTCGTAAGAAGACTGTTCGCCCCGTTATTCAGAGAAAAGCTCAAACTTTAGAATTTTAAGGTACGTTGCTTTGAGCTGACTGAGAATGACATCTCAAACTTGATATTCATCTAGTTGTACACTTGAACTTTTCCTATAGGATGATTGCTTTTCCTCTGAGGTACACTGGCTGCATACACAAATAAGTCAAAATTACTGTTACAATCTCGCAAGAGCTTCTTCTTTCCGCAGTCCACCAAACGACATACGATTCGCATCCGGACTTCCCTCTTTGAGTTGATCGATTAAATTTCTCCATGAATTAATAGTCCCAGCCCTAATCACGAACAACTTAGCCGTAAATAAGTGCTCCCACCTGTCAGTTTGAAGGAAAAAATCTGTTCCAATTTCCTCAGACCAAGATCAAGACAATGAAATCCCTTTGGATGACATTGTGCTCAAATATGTCCGGACAGTAGACCGATCAAAAGGTACCACACACACACACACACACACACACACACACAGAACCCAAGAGAAAATCCGACTCAAATCATCATTGGGTAATCACTACTGTTCTCCACAATGACCGAACTTCAATGTCGAGCAAAGTTGATAGTTACGCTCCACTGACCTAAGGTATGTGTTTGACTCAACCAAAGGCTGAGGGAAGGGCACTTTTTGGGGTGGTGCATAATCCGCTTGTATCACCGGATTTACGACTTCTGCTCGCATGTGACCGGGGAAAATAGGCGATTGGGGAGGAGAAACAGGGAGCAAGAGAGATGCGAAAAAATAATAGAATTGAATAATGAGATGGCACGGTGGAATCAATGTATCTGACAAAACTGACCACTAGTCAGCTTGTGATCACAGTGAGATGCGAACGTCGGTACGTCCCCATGTGTTCAGTCGCCAAGCGGAACGGCTTGAATTATTGAAATCTCCATTTACGTTTTGCAACGATTTTTTGATTAAAGAAAAGTATGGCAAGGGAATCTCCCAACTAGCAGAAGTGTGTGCGTATTTTCTATCGCTTTCTTGTGCTAATAAACATTTTTGTGATAGTTTTATCATTTAGCAGGGTTACACCCAGACGCACGCAATACCATGGGTACTGTGCAGCTGATCTACTGTTCATTACAAGACGTATCCAGTCAAGCCATATTCAGAGTAATGTTAAATGCGGAATCATTTGCATTAAAGTTTAAATGGCAAGAAGTAACTCGTAGATACTTTTTTGAAGGCACACGCAAAGTCCTGACGTTGCGTTCAACGAATATTATTTATAGTAATATGAGGAGTTGTTATCCTATTCAGTAGAGAATTCAATCTGTCAGTGAAGCAAGTGTGTGCTGAATCTCAGAAATTCGTGGGATGCGCACTGCTGATGTTTCCTATCAATGATGAAACAGCTGTAGAGTGCTTCTCGGCTTTTCAGGATAGGCCGGCCTCACTGGCAGGATAAAATTGCTGCTGAAGAGAGTCAGATATCCTCACAACACCATGAAATGTTATTTATGCCGCCAATCGACTCAACTATGATCAGTCGAGTGTAAGTTGTACAACCATACCGATTGCAGCTGTTAGGTTGATCTTAAGGAACTTGTATATAGGGCGGCAACATGCTTTGGGATGTGCCTACTGTTGAAAGGATAACGATGTACTGGCCGTTAATCTCAGGATGGAGGGAGGGAGGAAAAGAAGATAATATCAATTCGTACGCTAACGTGGTTAACTATGAATGACGATTACCAATTAATATTACACCTTCAAAGTATCCGGCCATCCATCCGAGGCGTATTTAGGTTGCAAAAACGATTTTACCGTCGACCCTGCTATCTTTGGAAACTTTTCCTTCATGGGCCACTCCCATACATCAAATTCATAAACAGCGTACTGGTGCACCAGATGTTAACTCTACGGTGGATTCTCAAATCACTCACCATTAATGTTAGCACCAGTATGATAATTTGGGATGGCGTCAAATTCACGCAAATTTAGGTCATAATGAGGGAGTTTGACGTGGAGCCACTATTCTCAGTTTTCGTGATGCGGTTTCATATCCATCTGCCTCGTCTTTGAAACGCCCACTCATTCACTGCTTGGTAGGATGGATGGAGTAACTATTGGAGTACTTTTAGCGTGTTCTTGCTATTGTGATTCACGTAGGTGGAACTGTTAGGTCCGTACACCCACCACGACAATCAGACACTAATTCTCTCTCTCTCTCTCTCTCTCTATATATATATATATATATATATATATATATATATATATATATGTATGTATGCTTG